AGTATAGGGGGAGGGATCAGACCTCCCTCAGGACCTGTAGTATAGGGGGAGGGATCAGACCTCCCTCAGGACCTGTAGTATAGGTGAGGGAGGAGCCGATACTTACATCGTTCTAGGAACGCCTCCACGTTCTTGTTGCGCCGTAGACCGGGGAAGTTGAGATCGTCGACGAGTGCCTGGAGTCCATCCTGCAGAAGTAAAACCATCGATGTTGTTAGCGCAAATCACGGGTACACACAGAGAGGTACACACGTATACGCGTATGCACACATCACGCACGCGCACACACACGCACGCACACATGCACGCGCCCACACGCACGCACACACGCACGCACGCACGCACATACAGACGCACGCACGTACGTATGCGCACGCACACGCACGCACACGCACGCACGTACGCACGTACATACGCACACACACACACATGTACACACGCACGCATGTACGCATGCGCACGTACACCACACACACGCACGCACGCACACGAGCGTACACACGCACGCATGTACGTGTGCGCACGCACACGCACACGCGCACGCACACTCACACGCGCCACGCAAACATACACTAATAGTAATAAAGAGGCTATATCACATGGTAATAAAAAATAGACTGTTTAGAGTCACATGGTTACAGAAAGAGGGCTGTAAATCCGCGGCGGTGGAGTCTGTGGAAACTTGCTTACGTTTACCCAACAACATACCAGAAGTCAGCAACAAGTATTGTGATGTTTCACTTATATGATTTTATTGGTCAATCATTGATTTACCTCACCGGTGGGAATAAATATCATGGGATTAATTACAAGTGCCTAAACAAAGTAGAGCTACACACACAACTAATTTTACGTGCTGTACTATCCAAATCGAGCCCGGTACCCAGTACAGGTGAATATTTACACGAGTTTTGGCTTACTTCATCATTTATACAAACTCAAACATAATTCAACGTTACATATTCTTGTCACGCTTCCACTAGAAATACTTCCTGCCTAACACACACACACACACGATGTACGTGAACAATTATATGACAGGCACACACGCACAAGCACACGCGCGCGCACAGACACGTACACGCACGCACGCACATGCGCAGGAAGGCACACGCGCACGCAGCAACGCACGCACGCACGTACGCACTCACACCGGCACCATATTTGTGGTGTACAATTCAAGCACCTCGTGTACATGCACGCATTCCAATCCTCCGGGGGAATGGAATAATTGCAGAGCCGACTCATTCATTGCTATACAACAGCCCAATTCTTGGATAGCTAGCTCTCAGGTGGCCTACACTCTCCCAGCCATGGGAGCTGCTATGAAAGTCACCCAGCCAAGGAAACCCAGAAGTAGAAACGAAGAACATAGATTTAGATGATGATTTTGAGCAGTTAGAAGGTTATGAATTCAGAAATAAGCGAATTTTTCATGATTTTAGGAGGTGCCCGTTTTCGGTGATGTATTTTTGAGATGATTATCATGTGGCCTAGTTAGATAGAACTTTGCCATTTCATTTCGCTTGTCCTATTTCCATTTGACACCACCTGTCGACCAAGCAGCTATGATGGATCGCAGAATTCTACTGGAGCTAGTGACGTTGGTGGATTCGCCCTCTCGTTCTATCTCACGCTTACTCTCTCGCTAGCACTCTCTCGCTCTCTCTCTCTCTATCTATAATATATACTCTCTCTCTCTCTCTGCCTGACCCACGCTATGGTCTTTGTCTCTGCTGGTGTTATCTACCAGGCTTCCCCGCCACACCATCTACACGTATTCCACACACACACACACACACACACAGGGGGAGGATATTTGCCCTGCAGGCATTATTTCATTCTCTCATCCTCTCCTCCTCCAGCCTGTTATATCCTCCTCCCCTCCCGCCTGAAGGAGCGCACACAGTCGACAATAGACCCCAAG